CCTTGCTCCGCGTGACTTCTTGTTTTCAAGAATGCAGAGGGACATGAATTTGATGACATAGAAGAGGTGAAGAAAAAACGATGGAGGTGCAGCCAGCTATCCAAACAGACGAGTTTGAAAAAATGTTTCCAAGAATAGCATCGTAAATGACAAATGTATTCAGTGTAATGGAAAGGATGCTGAAGGTCAAGGTTGTTTTGTAAAAAAAATTTAAATACATACCTTTTGAAAAAAGATTCCAGGCTGTTTTGGGTACCTCCTCATACTCTTCTTGTAAGAACTCACTTCCCAGAAGTGCATTAACTCAGATGATTCCTCAGATCTGTGTTACTGGCCCAGACATCTAAGCTTTAGTCCTGTCCATCCACTCACTACCCAGATAACCATCAACATCTAGATGCTTCACTTGGCTTATCCAAAACAACTTGATTTCTTCTTTTTTAGTAAACTTTAAATGTCCCATTTGTTGCTAAAAGGCCCAGCAAAACATCAAGACACCATGACCTCTATAATACTGCCCTGTAATGTTGCCAACAGTGACCTAACTGGTTTTCTTATTTCTACTCCTATTGTTTTCCAGTCTACTATGCAAACAAAAGTCGGAGCCATCCTTTCAGAATTCAAATCTGATCACCTTGAGAGCCTCTGATGGTTGTGGATTACTCTTAGGATCAAATCCAAACTGGCACAGCATTCAAGATCTTGGTGGGTCCAACCTCTGTGCGCTCCACCAACCTCAGCTCTTGTCAATGGCATTCACATTGAATACATGAATATTTAAAATGCGAATACATCACAATATGCATTCTCATCCATTTTTTTTGTCCCCTCTCCCGGACTCTCTCAATACTATGTGTATTTACACAATGCTGTTCCCACTGCTGAGAAAACTATTACTTCCCTTCTTTGCCTGGAAAAATTCCTACTGCACCTCAAGCTTTTCAGAATGAATATTAAGCATATGTTTCTCCATTGTACCTCTCACATCCTATACTTCTTCACATCAGGGTTGAAAGACAAAACATTGCAACGGTTTTCATAGTGAATAAGCAGCACTATTACCCAAATTATTAACAGCAGCTTAAGGCTGGCATGCACACACGGAAAACAATTTCTTAACAGAGAAGTCGACTTAGTATTCTATTATGATAGCTGGCTATCCAATATTATTTAGCAAATTTCCAATCGTGGAAATTCCCTCAAACGTAATACCTTGTTCTCAGTTTATTCTTACTGCGTTTGAGTTGTTTATAGTTCAAGTGATGCCAACGTACAAATCAAAATCACTCTTCATTTGCCTTGCTCATAATGAAGTTTAAATTTCATTTAAACTGTAAAATTTAGTTTATAGTGAGTTGTCTGGATTAATTCCACAGTGGCTACTAAGATTTATTTGTATCATCAATAGTTTCCAATAAATAAGATTCTACAACTAATATGAACAACGTAAGCTTACTGCTGAAGACATTTGCTTGAAAGCTGACACCAGCTTTTTAATCACAGAATGATTTTCCCATCATTAAATGAGAACAGGCAGGACAGGTGAACCCTGCCTAAACCGACTGTGATTTAACACAGAACAAAGTGATTCACAATTTTGGTGTCATGGTACCCTGGAGTGTTGTGATCAGTTGCTTGTTTATTTGGTAATTTTCCAACCTTTCAGGGAGAGTGGCTGACTGTGAAGCTCCACACAACTGATCCCCAACCACCAACGGGAGGGCTTTGTGTTAAACCTGTTTATATGCAGGGTTTCTGAGTATGAAAGTAATTGTAAAAAGCCTTCCTGAGTTTGGAAAAAACCTTGAAAACCTCACAATGCCATATAACTGGTACAATCTGCATTGCTGAGAGAAAAAAATAACATTTAGAAAGCATTTTTTTTTACTAAAGCAATCATCTCATTATAAAATTAGCTCACTAAAAAAAATAAATAAATAAAATAAAATTAGCTCAGTAATGAATTGTTCCCCTAACCAAGAGAAAAAGTCAATGCATTTAAACTTGACTATCATTTCACCTCTGGCTGTGAATGAGGGGAGCCGGGTCAATACGGGAAGAAGATCTACACAAAATCAAAAATATTAGCACACACATACATTTACTCCATTCTTCTTGCTAAACCTACCGCCGCTCTCAATCTAGGAACCCCACAAAACGTAAACCCACTGTCGTCCATTCAGAACGTTCCTATGAGATCGAGCAGGACGTCTCACAGGGTGTGAGCCGCCTACAAACAGGGTTTCCTCGGCTCCCCCGGGGCTGCTGCTGGGTTTGAACAGTCCAACTTTCCATTAGGAGCCAAGTGTTTAACCACTGTGCCACCAGGGCTCCTCAATACAGGCAGAAGGACGAATTTTCTTCAGTGTTAGGATTTTTTAATTTTCGTTATAGGGTTAGAATTCTTTGATTTTTGTTAACATGTGAACTAACAAACAATGGCAGAAAGGTAAAAAAACGTGTCTGTTCAGTAACCAATTTATTTGCGTTAAGATTAAAAATAAGATCCATGAATCCTAAATAACTGATACAAATATGCAATCAATAATATTCTGAGATTTCCCAGATGCCTACAAACATTGCAAGCATTCATCAACCACTGCTGCGGCGACGGTGTCGGAAACCTTACGGAGGGGTATCATGCGTCATGGGCACCACTTCTAAACGAAGCCAGCCCTCCTCCTCATCACTCTCTTTAGGACTGGGATGGTGCAGAGAAATCAAAGTTCATTTTAGTTCCTGACGTTTCTGAAAACAGACTTGGTAGCTACAGCTATCTAAAATTTTTAACAGAACTGTTTTCAGTAAATGCAGTTTGTGAATACGGCTTATCAAGTGCCCAAATGGCAGCAGATGGTGCAGAGCTGCACCTGAAGTGCCTGCTCTCGCTCGGCTGTGTGGGTTTAGTCAAGTGCCTTACTCTCTCTGGGCTTCCCTTTCGTCAATTATCAAGAAAGATGCTGATTGCCAGTGAAAGAGACGACACAGCACACTGATTTCTTGTGAACAAGACACTACTAAATGGACAGTACAAGGACTTTAATTTTTATTCTATAAACCGACAAGTACAGACAGAAACCTGTCTCTATAGGCTCATCAATCTTGGGTTTTATATACTGAAAAATGAAAATACATATAACACATCTTCAAGAGGGTGACCCTCGATGACCTAACACCTCTGAGTTACACCCTAATATGTACACACAAGAACCAAACAGACGAACAATACAAACCAAAAAAATACAGGAACTTTTGGAAACCAGATCAGGTCCAGTCTGCATCATAGAGAGGAACTGCTGACTCCGTTTTAACTGTGCAAGTCGAATTTATGCCTGTGATCTTCTGTACTCCCCTCTCCAAGGCACTCTGTTTAGTAACCACTCTCCTCCTGTCCCTCAACTGTGGATCGAGGAAGCTCACCGAAGGCTTATTATTGCTTATGTTGTTCCACAAATGGGTCTTAGGTTCTCATTGTCATCCAGAGCCTTCTGCAGATCAGATTCTCACAATTTAGGCTGTGATACTAACCCCTCCTTCAACCTCTGATTCTATGTTTCACAGTCCTTCGGTGACCAATGATGGTGGGCTTCTTCCATGTGCACTTAGTTGACATCTCACTCAGATGGCAGCTTGTTTGGAGACAAGCTTTAAGTCCCCAGAGGCTATTTTAACTACTATCCAGGCACCATCTAATTTCTTCACCACATTTTACTACAGCACTTGTCTCCTCTGTGTTCCCTTCCCGAGGTGAGTATCGAGCAGGGCCTTGATGTAAGAACTAATTGTTCTTAAGTTGGAGCCAACACCCATTCCTGGATCTAGGTTTTGGGATTTTTGGTTGCTGCTCTTTAAATTTATTATTACTTGGGCATTAACACCAATATGTCATTGCATCATTCAATCATATCAAGCAGACTGGTACCATCTCTTACATATTCAGTTTCAAAACATACTATATCTTCCTGCGTTCCATGACATCTTCTCCCTTTTACCAGCCCTCTCCTGCACAGAACACACCCTCCCCCCTTTGAAATCCTTGCTCTACTTGCTATCCCTATAGGTTCTTAAATCCTGGGTTTCATTAACTGAAAAACAGAAAAAATTTACCACAACTTCAAGAGGTTAGCCCCCAATAACAAAGCACCTCTGAGATGCACCCTAAAAAGAACAGAAACCTACAATGCTTTAAAAGTACCCATATCAGTCATAAAGAATTCAGATAGCATTTTGTCTTTCCCCTTACCAAGCTAAATTTTACTCTTTTACTCTGAAATCCCTGGAAGATTCAAGTTTTTTCTTTGGTACATTGTTACAAAACATGTAAAAAGGAAATCATTGAATCCAAACCTTGTGAACGCAGGACAACTGCCAAAATGTGACCACATTCCAGGCCTCATGTCACCAAAACACTTAAAGCCTAATTTCTAGTGGACCTTTAATTATACAAATAAATGATGCAACAGTTTAAGATCGCCTAGGAGGTTTAACCACTCTTATTCATAATTGTCTTGGTAGGTGTAGCTCGTACACTTTTCATGCTTATCCTATCAGAGCAAAGGAAGCCAGTTCCTCTGTGAGCTGGTCCAACCTTCCATGACATAGCAGGGACATCTAAGAAGAGGTTCTTAACTTCCACCCCCAGAACCTCACTATTTAGTTGCCAGTAGCATTTCAGAAAACACATCAGAAATCAAGGAACTTTCAGGAGAGAGAAGGCTACTGAGGTCCCCTAAACCAACTTACAGACTAAGACACCAAGGTAAATGTCTAGGCTGAAGGCCAAGTGGCTGATTCGTGGCAGAGTTGGGACAAGAACACCATTCTCTAAAAATCAGGGCCCAACTCTTTTCACCTGCTCCCATGATGCAAACGTAATGCTCAGTAGATCTGGGGTCATTTTAGTGCTTTTTTTGAAATGCAAGTGAGATGGTAGAAGATTGGGCTGGAGTTAAGAAAAGTTATTGGCTTGATAGAAAATAAATGTTTATTAGAAACTATACCTTTACTGCTTGTGGCGAAGGCACATTTTCCTTTTTCTGACTTGTGCTCATGGGCTCATTTTCAACACTGAAAAATAAAAACCAGAGTTTATTTTGAAATGACAAGATAATTACTAAAATGATGTCGCTTCTATATTGAGAACCAAATAATTGAAAGGCACTTTATCGGCAAAGCTCAAAGACTAGCATACAAAATGTTTCACCGAGAATATGTTGGAGTGAACCTCTCAACTTGAACATCACATTCACAGATACTCATGCAGGCTTCGGTGATGTCTGGGTCCGTTCTGGTTTTGTGCTCTTATGTTGGCCATCATATCGGAGGAGTGACGCCACTCAACAGAGGAGCACCTATGATCCACAGCACGACCTTGGGAAGTGCGAGCACTCTTACAATTTTATTTAAGTTGTTTCTCCACAGCCTGATCTTCTTTTAATGCCCACGCTGGGTTACTTGGAAAGAAATATGCTTCTATTAAGCAAATTATAAACAACACAGAAGCCCACTAATGAATTCTGGGACCACGCAAAATAGATTTGGGCTTAGCAAGCCACAAATGGGTCCCAGATGGTGCAATTTTAAAAATTCAATTCTCCAGATAGTCCCTTCTAATTATCTTTTGTTTGGGATGCCCTTCACAGATGTCTTTTATGTCATAATAAATCACTACGCCTATTAGGCACACATAGACTTTACATCAAAATATTTCTATTTGTTTACATTTCATCTTTTGTTTCTAAACTTCCATTATCCTAAACAAATTGAGTAGCTCTAAAATTTGCCATCACTGTTTCCCATGTGCATGGGATTACTCTTGGCTTTAAGAATATAAAAACAAATAGGTCAGCATCATTGCAAAACTCAGTCTAGTAGCAGGGGACTGACATGCAAGCCATGTTTAGCACTAGAGCTTGGTGGAAGTTACCAGGGCTGATGGAACAAAATGCTGTGGAGCACACAGGAAATAAGCCTAGGTAGAATCTGCCTTATCAGTAAGGTACCCAGAGAGGGGGTACAAAGATCAGTGTAATAGACAGCACGGCCCTCCAGGAGGCATTTCTGTCTGTTTCTACTAGATGACTGGAGCACAGGAACTTGCAAAAAGCAGGGGTAGTCCTGTTAGAAATGAGAATGAGATCAGAGGTTAACAGATGCCAGACTTTTTTTAATTTATTTTATTTATTTATTTATTATTTTTTTAATATATTTTTATTGGGGGCTCTTACATCTCTTATCACAATCCATACAGTCATCCAATGTATCAAGCACATTTACACTTATGCTGCCACCATCATTTTCTTTTTTTTTTTAATCGTTTTATTAGGGGCTCATACGACTCTTATCACAATCCATACATACATCAATTGTGTAAAGCACATTTGTACATTCATTGC